AAAGTTAGTTAGTTCATACTTATTATTATTATTTAACTTCCCAACTTACTTTATCAAAGTAACTTTCTATGTGAGGTTGATGAATCAGGCCGTGTGAAACTAGGCGCCAGATCCATCTGTGACTCCGTCATCATAATAAAATAATAATAAAAGTAAAAAATAATAAAAGTCTCATGAGTGACTCTATCAAAGCAGGACAGGTTTGTACTTAAACCCTCTTACCCCATCATACATTTGTACTTGTGTCCTGTTCCCTAAGTGGACGGCATGCACGATGGAAGAGAAACTTTATTTAGCCGTGAACTTTAACGACCTCTTGGTTGCGTGAACATGAACATGGCATTCCTGGAAAGACACACACACAGTAGGACACACTGTAGGCAACAGCGTAGCTTCAGAAAACAGCCAGAGTTAATGTAATATTTTGCTTTTTAATGACTATCTCTAAGGAAAAGATGGTTTGTACTAGTGAGCCACATTAGATCCTTCATCCAGAGCTTTGCTTCTCATTGGTAAAACCCTGATCTTTTTATGTCATGCACACATGGATGTGTCTGCATGTTAGTCTGTGACATTGGCGATGAGAAATGAGAGACAAGCAAAGGTTCAACCTAGATATACACAGTGTCTGATTTCATGTTCACATGCCACTGGACGTCCTTTTAAAGTGTTACACATTTTAAACATAGTTACATTCCGAGCTGCAGCCTCTACAGTTGGTCAAAATTATGCAACTGAACAGATGTTTCTTTAATTCCATGAGACTTATTAAATCACCATAAAACATGTTGTACAATCCACAGGCAGCTAGTTTCTGGGCTATAAAAGACATGTATCAGGCTTTTATGAATTTACTCAAGAGCACAGGCAGAACACAAGCCAAAGGCAAGATGACACTATAACATGATATGTAATATTTTTATTTATTAACAAAATTAAATTCTTAAAATCATAGACTTGTGATTTTGCAGCATCACCTGTAAAAGCTTTGTGAATAATAGGATTTGTTTGCCATCACTCACAGTCCTCTGATGTTTCAGCGAGAGTAAAAATTTAATTTATTTTTACTATAATATAAGAAGTTAACCGTATTTCTCAACAAGCCTATTTTAAGTCAATCTCTGAGCCGTTCAGCGATGGACTGACAACAAATTATCCTCTGGAAGCAATGGCCAACTTCTATTGGGGACAGAGTCAAAAGATTATTCACAAACAGCATCATTTGTTTTAGGTGTGTTAGGCCCAGAAGATATTTTGGCTAATTGAATGCAGATAAATTAAAAAGTCCTTAGCCGATGCATTTTGGTCGGAGTGTGGTCGAAAGCGGGCAACCAACGCCTGCTCAAACGTGACTGGTCAAATCAGAAAGACTTCAAACTCCCAAATCTACAGATTGTGCATATTCACATGTAGAATCTGTGTCTTTAGAGATTCATTGTGTCATTTTACTAGCCCATCAGACATTGTTTGTCATCAGCCTCCAATTTTTCCTCCTTGTTTGCTGGGAGCGATTTATTCAGTGCTCATTCCAGATAACAGCCTGTGAAAGTCTCCCATGCACCGCAGTGTGTGTGTGTGTGTGTGCATGTGGAAGTCTCTTCCTCAGCCAGTTTTAGAGATGGCGTCCAGTGAAATTGTCTTGGAAACCTGCCTCACCCTGCTGAGTCTCATTAGTGTGGGTTTCAAAGAAGACATGTGGCGTCACATGATGATAAAAAATTATGCTTCTGAGGATTTTCACAAAATGTGTGTGTGTGTGTGTGTGTGTGTGTGTGTGTGTGTGTGTGTGGCAGTGAAACCATCGTACCCTTATGTAAAAGCCACACCACTCGCCCTCTCCCTCACTTTAAACTTTCCCCTTTTCCTTCTTCTGTCTTTTCAGTTGAGTGATTGAGTGTGTTCCCTTGTTGTCGTCCTGTTTGTACTCAGTATAGTCAAATCGGACTTTTTTTTTTTTTACATATTTCCTTCTCTGTGACGCCTCACTGTTGTTCTGTTTTTCCTGTTTTTCTCTGGCCCCACTTGTTTTGGGTTGAGATGTGGATTGGATTGGATAATGGCGTGCTGACAATAGGGTTGCCACGATAGATCCCGCAACATTTTTACAGCACCTTCCTCTTCTCTCCCCATTCAGACTCTAAAAGCGACCACCCGATGTTCACTTACGCAAACTCACGTGGTTTCTCAGATTCTCTCCCAGCAGAATTTTGAGCGTTCAGACAGTTACGCAGCTTTTGTTTTTGAGTCTTGTGCAACAGATAACGAATAGTTTCCATTGGTCTGCCAAGGCTGGTGCTTCTCAAATTGACTTTATTTTCTCTCTGACGTGGAGGGGGGACTTTCTCTTTGCTAAATCAAACACTCAAATTCTCATGAGATTAAAGCTCTCAGGTTTTTTTCCTCTACGGCTAAAAGCTCCCCTCACTCTCGCTGTCCAATCAAGTTTACAGACCTTATAGAATCTGTTTGTGGAGGGTGGCAGGATAAGGCTATGTCACGGACGGTAGAATGTGCTCATTGTCCATAATTGTTTATTTAATTGAAACATCCCTCTGGGTGCGGAGCCTCCCCCCGGCTCCCTCCCCCCCACTGCCTCCCCCTCGGCTCTTTGTCCCGATACAGAGGGGGAAATGGCCAGCAGCGTCCCTTTTTGAAAACTGTCCAGCTGTCAAAGTGGCAGTGACATTTTCACAATGCTTCCCCTGGGTTCATCTCCTCTGTCTGCGCCCCCCCGCGCCCCCCCCCCCAGCAGTGTAAGCCCCTGCCCCTCCCTCCAGCAGACGGAGAGGACGGCACCACGGCCAAATCCACATGTGACCCGCTGATGGGCTGCAGGTTAAACATCCCAACCTCCCCCCTCCTCTCTGGATCTGTCTCCACACCACAAACTGACCCAAGCAGACAACACGGGATCTGTTTCCCATGTTATAGCTCATAGAGAAAATTATTTCACTACTTTCTCAATGTGATCATACAGATGTGGACCTCTCAGAACATTTGAAAGGTTCAATTAGCAGCCTCTGGGTGATCTAAGTTTACCTCACCTTCCAGTTTTGTTTTCACAGAGAATTCTATTTTGGCAACCCTATATTGTTCTAATCCCTACTAGCAGGCCTTTCCTTGGTGTTCTTGACTGTTGGATTGGACTGGGGCTGGGTGGTGGGAGGGCGCTTGGCCGCAGTGTGATGGATTTGGGTTTCAGGGTGTTTGTTGGGGGGTCTTATTCTCACGTTTGATGTGTGATGATGAATCAAATTAAACCCTGATGTATGTGTTTGTCCCACAGCATCCCAGCTCACTACATGTACCCTCAGGCCTTTGTGCAGCCTAGTGTGGTCATCCCTCATGTGCAGCCCACAGCCACTGCGCCTGCCACCGCTTCCTCCCCTTACATTGACTACACCGGAGCAGCCTATGCGCAGTATTCTGCTGCGGCCGCCAGCGCCGCAGCTGCTGCTGCCGCGTACGAGCAGTATCCCTACGCCGCATCCCCTGCAGCCGCAGGTTACGTGGCCACCACCGGCTACGGCTATGCAGTCCAGCAGCCTTTAGCCACCGCCGCCCCAGGCTCGGCCGCCGCCGCAGCTGCGGCCTTTGGTCAGTACCAGCCTCAGCAGCTGCAAGCCGACCGAATGCAATAGCAGCCACTGCAACCACTGGACATGCAGCGAGAGGGGGCCCGTCCCCTGCCACAGCTGACGGGTCAGGAGACGAAGCGAAGGAGGAAGGTAGAGGGAGTGGCTTTAAGGGCGGACGTGTCAGCAACTCAGAGGCAGAGTTGCTTTAAAAAGGTGGCGATGAAGATGATGGTGGTGATGATGAGGGTGGTGGTAGTGATGATGATGATGATGATGATGTTGGTGATGATGATGGTGAGGTGGGAACTTTATACGCTAACGTTCCAACTTGCTGTGCTTCAACCAAAAAAAATTAGAAAATGAAAAAAATTTGCAGAACAAATAATGGAAGGTGATTTACTTTTATAGTTATCGTTATTACTATGATTATTATTATTATTATTATTATTATTATTATTATTATTATTATTATTATCATTACAATTATCATTGTAGTAGAGTACTTATTTCTATAGAAGAAATGCAGGAACTAATCCCTGTGGTTGGTATAGGTGTTCAACTAAGCCGTAAAGTCCTATTGCTGTCTTTAACGTTAGTGTAGGAAACTGTTCTCTTGGTTATTTGATGCCCTCGTAACATTTATATTTATTACTGTTATTATTACACATTGAGGGCTTCTTGTTCTTATTGTCTTTTCAAGTGTATTTTTTGGAGTTAATATTTTCTGATAATCAGGGAAATGGAACCGTTTCCAGCGTGTTAGCTATTATTATGTGATGACCTCTGTCAGGAAGTCTAGGAGTCGTAACATGTTGTGTCAGACATTTGAAGAACTATCTTTTTATCTTCCTGATGCTGAATGTCCCTTTTTTTTACTCTGTGTCTCGACCTCCTGATCTATGCAAAGAAAACAAATCACCAGGAGACAAAAAAAACAAAGAAAAGACACAAAAAAAATGAAAAAGTCATCAACTCTGACTTGACTCTTGGACTAACAGGGGACCTGGCAAACCAAACAAAGGCACTGACAACAGGAGAGAGAGGTCCACAGCGGCTTCAGACAATGAGAAACACTAAATCAGTCGCTTTTTCCACATGTTTCACTCACACGTACTCCGAGAGTTGCACACATAGCAGTCGAAAAAAGACAAAGGCGACACAGTGGTGTTTCTCTCTGGCTCCGGGATAGATGGACAGAAAGAAAAAGAGAAAGAAAGGAAAGAAAGAGGGAGAGCGAGCAGCTGCTGGTGGGGGTGGACAGAGCCGCCGCTCCAGCGCCACACAGACGGATCACTCTGGAAAGAACGCATCACTTGTGCTCGTTTGTTGAGCTGTCACATTTTAATCCCCCGGCCGGAGCCCATTTGGGAACCAACTTTACACCCCTCCACCACTCGCCCCTCCACCCGACACAGTACCCCACAGTGGAGCCCCCCTCACCCCCCCCTGCCATTCAGCCCTGCCGCCGTCAGCACTTCCACCTCTGTGCTGCTGTGGCCCGGTGTCAGGTACACACTCACAAAACACACACACTTTTCACCAAAATCCCAACAACAACTGGCCTGCCTCATGTCTGTCAAGAACTAGGTGGAGAGGACAAGGGGGGGGGGGGTTACTCTCTGACGTTGTGTCTGTGTGCCTTACGTTTTTTTTTCTGCTATTTAAGAGAAAAGAAAAGCTGAAAAAGAAGCGATAAATCTACTATTTAAGATATTTATTTTTGAGGGTTGACGATGTTGACGCTCTGAGAGTAGACACTTAGTGGCGGTACTGTATTAATAATATGACTATGTACTCATCTCAAGGCATATATAAGTTATTGATTAGTTTTAGTAATATTATTATTATTATAATTATTATTAACATACTCAACCAAAAATGTTGATGTAGGACTTATTTAAGATACTGTTATGTGCACTGTACTTTTATTTTCTATCTTTTTCTGATTCTTTAGAACATGACATTAAATATTAGCTTAATGCCTTTTGTATGGAAGAACTTTATTTAAAATGCAGGCCTGTTTGCATGCACATTGTACTCTGCCTCTTCTGTGTTTAGACAAAAGGAAAAAAAAATTTTTTTTGACAAAAACAAGCGAAAATGCTGCTTTCTCCACTAGAATGTATAGACGTCGTCAAGGTTTCAGTAGCCGTGCTTCTTTTTGCCTTAATATTCATCAAGATGGGCTATTTTACACTGTTGGGAATTTTTATACTTGAACTATTTCTTACAAGGGAAATATGAAAAAATAAATGACAAAAAAACTTTTGAAGAAAGCTTTTCATTGTCACTGGATGAAGGCATGTAAAGTGTTACTATTTAAATGCAAAGGTCCTGTTGATATAAAGAATTCAGAATTTCAACACCATTTAGTCAAAAATCAGAATAAAATGTTCTATATTTAAAAAAGCGTGGTGACATTTCTTTTCCATGAAGTCAATAATGAAGGTTACTTGAATTTCAACACATCCTATAAATACATCCTCATGCTGATGTTTCCTGGAAAGATTTTCATCTTGTTATATATTTCTATATATTTCCTTTGTGTCTATGTGCATCAGTATTTATCTTTGGTCACAGCTGCAAGCTGTCAAACACACCACACACCAGGTGCTCCTCCTCTCTGTGAAACCATCTTTCAGGGGCCGTTACTTGAAAACTAGTTCTCACATTACAGTCACACCCTCTGACAGTTTGCATGGGTACCACTGACGCATGATTAAGTCTCTCAGGACTCAATGTCTATCAATGATTCATCATCTCTAATCAATAAGTCATGCTAAAATGAGATTGCTCCAGTGGGTCTGTCTTATTCTGCTCAGCTCCAGGGATTATTTTTGGTCCCCGGTGAAATGTAACACTGTAGATGGGTGATCATGACACAGCAGGGAGGCAGCAAGGCCTTATGGGTGAAATCACCACCCATCCATGCTCATGATTTAAGGGTTGTTATTTTTTTGTTTTTTACTTGCTATTGACACAGGCCTGTGTTACTGCTCTGAAGAGACTTGAACAGGGGACAAGTTCTCAGCTGTCGTCAGTTAGAGATGTATCTCTGGTTCGAAAGTCAATATTTTGAGTTAAATTTAACTAGTGCTCATTGGATAACAATATAATTAGTTCAACCTTTGGGTTGCCAGGTTGTAACCTGACTGATCAAAATACTTCAGTGACTTATAAAAGGAGAATTCCACCACTTTTACACATCAAGATCAGTTCATTTATCATGAGGAGCATCACTCCATGATGACTTCATGGACATGTCCCAGTTGGAGATATGAGGGTTTTTCCAGCAGCAATGACATGTCCCCACTTTCCAAAAAGAATGACAACAGATCAGTGTCAACATATATTAACTTTTAGGCACATGTGAATGTTACTAAAATGATGAACACATTAATACTCCCTCTTTAAAATAAGATTGTAATTTATAAGTATATAATCAGTAACAGAATTAAAGGGGGTTTCAAGAGTATATGTACACATGCGTGAGTTCCATGTAGTATGAATTAGCGTCCGGCTGTGATCCCTTGCTGTGGCCTTGACCTTTAACAGAAAATCGATAGTGCAGGTCCTGACCCCATTGCCAACAAATGTGCCAAGTTTCATCCAAATTATATTAAAACTGCCTGAGTTATTGTAGTGACAAAAAGACAAATGCAGCCATAGCACCATACTTATAATTCATTATTAGTTAATAATGAATTTAATAGTTAATGGTTAATTTTGGGGAACATTGTGCCGTGTAAATTAGCTAATTTGACTAATCATCTCATGATGACATGGTTAGCCGCAGCAGTAACCATCTCGAAATAATACATGAACACTCATGGATGATTTCCTTCAACAGTCTGAGCGAGGAGGAGTTTAAAACATTTGCTTCCTGAGGCGAGAGAAATCGCAGCATAGCTTCAAGTGGAGTTAAACTTTGGTGACCTTTGGCCCACGATATTTGCAATCGTGTATGTGTCACCGGGCCCTTAAACAGGATACAATCATGTTGCATCGTGGGAAGGAGCTTATGTTTTTGGAGCTTGGGATTTAAAATCTGAATATTTTGGTCTCTGCTGCAATTTGGTTAAAACTTTTAGTTGTTTAACTTGTTTATCTCAAATCCCTCAACTTGATGAAACTTTGACTCTAAATCCTCAGTACAACTTCCCTAAACTTGAATCAGGATGTAGTCAATATTGGATTGATTAATGTTGACTTATTAAGGCTTCAGGATGTGACCTACAGTGCATCAGCAGCTGATATAGAGTCAGGTGTAAACTCACTTCAAGGAAAGTGGTGCCAGACTTAAATGGACAACACTTGATATACTGCTGTTCTCATGTTTAAGGGGAATTCCAGGTTAAGGAGATTCAGACTCTGACCCAATGATGATGATGATGATGATGATGAAGGTGCATGTCCAGGTCTGTTTTCCTCAGAAGGAACACGTGCACATGTCTTTTTCCACAGCGTCCATCACTCGTCTATTTTTAGTGGGGCTCTGTGAAGCAGCCATGTTGCCTGCGGAGTAAACTGTCCGTGCGCCCCGGAGGAGCCACTGCGGCACTGAGTCATTCTCCTGATCCGTGCGCGCTGCGCTCTGCGGCTCTCAGGTTCACCGTGTTGCTTATTTAGGGCATCCCGGAACTGTACCGGTGCTGTGCGCAGCTGAGTGACGGGACAGGGCGGCAGGAGAGGACCGCAGGCGACGGAACACAGCCACAAATCCAGTCCCGGGAAATTGACGCACTCACACAACAAAACATCCCCAGCAGAAATTATCTGCGGACCAGAAGAGGGAGGTAAGATGTCCCCGTACTGAGCTGTTCTTTTTATACTGAATGTTGTGTTTCGTGGTGGGGCGGAGGGCTACAGTCCTGCAGTGGTGCTGTGTGATAGAGATGTGCAATGTTTGTGCGCAGAAATATCCAAACAAAGTCATCTTCACCTGCTTCCTGCTTGTGCGTCACATGCGTTCTGACATGTTTGGCACGACGTTTACGCACCGAGAGAGCGCACTGTATTGATTTTATGCTGTTTTTCTTTTACCTCTACCTACTCTCTGGAGTAACGGTGATTTTGGCTTCTCACCATGAAGCACCAGATTTCAGGAGGGGCGATGAAATTCCTGTGAGCTTGCCAGTGCAAAGTCATTAGGCATGATCGTGTTTGGCCCGAGACACAATGTGGGATGAAACACCTGTAATGATGGGTAATCATGAGATTCAAACAGCCCATTGATGTTATACATTATAGATGGTTCATTGTGGGCTCTGCACTTTTTGCATTTCAAAGTTAATTTTTAAACCAAACACTGGTTCACAGAACATCTTACACCCTAAGGTCCATTAAGTAGCTTAAATGAACCAATTTGCTAAGGAAGATCATGTGATATGATCAAAAGTCCCACAAAAGCTAGTAAAAAAGCTACTAGGCTTCTCAAAGGCCTAAAAATAAATGCTCTGTCTTTATAACTGATTTCATAACTTCTCTTTATTGAATATTAACCACAATCAGGAAAACCTACAACAAAAATGATCTATTTCTTAATTTTAATGACAACATTTTAAAATTAAAAACAAGATCCCAGGTTTTTTGTAGACGAGACCATTACCAACACTATAAGGTTTAAGTGGCCATGGAGTAGACACATCTGTGGCTCAGGAGTTAGAGTGGGTCGTCCACGAAGGTTGGTGGTTCAATCCCAGTGTCCATGGACAAGATACTGAACCCCAAATTGATGCGCATAGATGCACTGTATGTGTGTGTTAATGGATAAAGCACTTTGAGTGGTCATCAAGACACTTAAAATCGCTATATAAATACAGATCATTTACCTTTCACTCGTCTTATCAAGCATTTATGTGCTGAGAGTTCCTTTATCCAAGCTCCCAGAGTACAGTGCAGGACACGGAGACCTGTGTTTGAATATCATACAGTACAGTCAGGCCCATAGAAGCACACTCTGGGCTGTGGCCCAATATAGCCCCAAAGATCAGATACGGGGCCACAGGGTTCAGGAGACATGTGCAAGTCAGGGTGAAGTCAGTAATATTTTTCCACTCTACAGCGACATGTGTGTCCTCTCAGCTGTTGGTCGGGGGTCTTTATGTGGCAGAGGCTGCGGCCCACCTGTCTGGAGGAACAGTCGGAGGAATGTTCTCGTATTATGGAGTCTACAGTCACAAACAACAGACTCAGGACTGATGAAAATGTTTAAAAGAGCAATGATTTCTGAGACGTTGTGCGACAGTAATGTATTTCTGATGCAACCAGCAGGCTTCCCATTCAGTTCCTATGGTGGAGTCTAGATGAATATGGAAATCTCCATGGCAATACAAAGACATCGCCATGGATTTTGGCTGCTTTTTAATAAAACTAGTGCAGCTGCTGGGGCTGCTTCTGTCTCATGGTTTTAAAACAAAGATTAAGTTTGTTATTGAGCGAGACAGTGATTAAGTGAAGTGTTTTGAACTTTGGATAAAAACAGTAGTTGATTGAATGGCCTCGATTTAATGTTTGTAACAGTAACCATGGTGCTGACACAAATCAGTCTTTTGTGTCTATAAAATATTGTAATTAATAGCCTTGTAAACGATGAATATTTGATTCTTCATGAACAAAATCACCAATAAATCCTTTTTAAAAGATGTTATTACCAACAACTTATTATAATAAACTCAAAAGTCTGACTCCACGTACATTGTACAGTCCGTGTACATTTCCTGGGGCAGAGTTGTTGGTTCATCTCTGCTCTCTTGTTGTCAGCACACGTGCAGCCCTGCAGGTTCCAGGTCTTGCCTATATGAGCTGCTGGGAGCCCCAGATCAGAAATAGCAGCTGAGTGGTGCGACAGGCATCTGGCACTGCTGAGAGATTTCTCCAGAGAGATGAGTCGTTGACGCCCATCAGGACATGTTGGCTGCTCAGAGCACGTAATTACTGGACATAATTTAAAAAGATTACAGACAGAAGACACCATCCAGGCTCCAACGTTTACTCACTGCCACAGAGATGAGGAGCTTCCTGGTTTTTTTTTATACATCGTCTCATAAAAACTAATAAAATGATCTTTAATCCAAGGGGCGGGGTTGTGTGTTGGACACACAGGTAGCAGGTGTCCGATTAGGAAGAGCCTGTTACCTAGCAGGAGTTTGTGTAAACATGCAGCAGCTTGCTGGATTGAATTCCACTCGGCTGACTCATAAATATTGGAAAGAGGCCTGCGTAACCTCACGGTGAGATGATGGCGTTCGATGTATAAATATTTCCCCACAACCCTTTTACACTTGTGTTTTGAATAACTCTCATCTTTCTTCTCATCCTCGCTCCAGTCTCTACATCTTCTAATCCAATAGTGTGATTGGTTGTGTTTGGTTGTGACTCACACAGAGACAGTGTTCATAAAACCTCACCACTCTGGATATTTAGTTGTATATTCAGTTTGACTCTGCTGCTGATATGGTCCGGCTCAATGACAACAAGAAGCAGCAGAGTGAGAAAGTGAATCCCTCTGGACTCAGTCGTGATCTTTTCATGTCGTGATCAATAGATTTAATCACAATCACCAAGCTAATCACAAACCTCAGATCAGAAACATCACAGTTCAGCCTAAAAAACAATTCCCCCTTTTGTTTTCCAGGTTTGACAACATGGAAGGTTTGATGCTGCGGCTGGAGCGAGCTGTGACTCGTCTGGAGCAGATGTCCGTGAACATTCAGACGACCAGTAGCATGGCGAATGGGGACTGTGTCAACGGCATTGATGGAGGCAAGTCTGAAACTAACCATTGACTCAGAGGGTTGGGGGGGGGGGGGGGGGTTGCACACAAGCATGAAACAAGCAAGTAAGCAGTTCTGTGTTCTTAGGCACGTCTCAGTGTGTGGACGCCTTCAACGTGCTGCTCAGCGGTCCAGTGTCAGACTACCTGAGCAAGAGCCGAGCCATAGGGAGCGAGGTGGAAAAACATGTGAGTGATTTTGTGTGTGTGTGTGTGCGCCAACAGTCATCTGATGAAGGATGAATCACTTGTAGACACACACCTGTCCACACACACTTCATAAAGACACACACTTATACACAGATGCTGCAGCGGCTGTTGGAGACAGATGTCGCCACAGCTGCTGTCATAGTGATCTGCAGCTACAGTGCAGCGGGGGGGTCGCTCTATTGCTCCCAACAGTAACTATTAAATGGGGGTCTTCACCAAATTTTGCATGATCCCCTTACTCTTTTTGAAAAGTGCTAATGTATCGCTGCTTTTTAAAGGAACGATACACCCTAAAGAAAGAAGAACACCAGTTTGTTCGAGTTTCCCTTTAACTTTTAAAACACCAGTGAGTCCCGTTGAGGAACGGAACACTCACCTCACCAAATTCGACACTGCACTTCACTGGGCCCTTAACAATACACATACCAAGTGTGGAGCCAATAGGACAAATGATTCATGCGTTTCAGATAGATACAGACACACAGACCACCAGAAGAAAGTGTAGGTTTGCTTTTATTTCTGCTTCATGAAAGCCCTTGTGACAGTCCATTCAGTGGACATATTCTAATTAATAAACAAACTCAGTTTTTTCAGAATCTGCTCTCATTTGAATCTTACTTAATGTTGATCTCCTCTGTAAAGGGATATCTCACTGATTGTGCACTTGCGCATTTTTTCTATCTGCCAACTAAAATTCATTGGACGTAGATTTTAAAACAAACAGGATCTTGGGGTGATATGTTCAGCTTTGGAAAGATATCAATGACCGTCATGTTCCGGCAGAAACAAGGCAGTTTGTGTGTGTGTGTGTGTGTGTGTGTGCGCGCGATAGCAAAGGTTTCCTGTCCTCTACAAAGCCAAGGATGGGAGTATGACTGAACTTTGACTTTACATTCATCTATCAAGTTGCTAGTCGACCACCTTTTCCTATTTGGTAATGACCCGCACTCCCACAGAGATTGTGTTTTGTTTTAAGCCAGCTGGCAATAATAGCTGTGTTATATCGTTGGAATAAATCCAACACATCAGGGAGGGCTTCAAAACAGAGGAGTAAAGACAGACGGAGAGAAATTCCCTCCCTTGTAGTTCTCGGTCTGAACCTCGAAAGACAATTTCTATGCCTGTGTCCCATCAGTGCATGAGTATGTGAGTGAGAGCCAGAGGTGGTTTCTTTAAGTTTGTAGAACTCCTTTTATGGACAAAGCCTCCCTGGTGGTTCCCTTGGCCCACAACTGGAGGTCTCACACACACACACACACACACACACACACAGAGAGAGAAGCATGCACAGGACACGGCTGACTTACCCAAACTCTGTGTGTGTGTGTGTGTTTTGTTTTGTATACTCGCTTTTCTATGTGCAGCACAGACAGATTTACCGGCTGTAGTTTTATAGGCAGAGAGAATGAACTAGCAAAATCTTTTCTTTTCAGGGAACTGCAGCTTTATTTAACAGGCACAGTATAACACCCATGAAATGTGTGATGCTACGTGTATTATCATCCTAATCTATCTGTGTCTGACTCTTGATGATTGACAGGCGGAGCTGGTGCACAATGCCCTGCAGACTCAGAAAACTTTCCTCAAAATGGCTGCCACGCACCAGGAACCCTCGAAGGTAATTGCCACGGAAACCCATCGATGGTTAATAACTATGGCGACATTAGGTGCACTGTGACTTTGAGATTAAATTGAACAAACAAACAAATTACAAGAATGTTTTTAAATGTATTGGTTTGTAAGAAGTAAAATGCTAAAGAGAGCAACCAGCCCAGTTTTAAGTTATATAAAATTTAGTATATTTGGGATTTATAAAAGGATTTGGAGCCTTTTCTCTGATCTCATGCCAATGTGCTGTTATTCCTTTTACTCTGAAGCCAGGAATGTAAAACAATAGTGTAAACACCCTTGTGGCCTTGTGTTTTAAGGAGGTGACCATGAACTGCAGCATCCATGGTCTGAGGCTGGGCGGAGACCTTAGATATGTCATTCACCATGTTCTCATTTCCTGTCATCTCTCGATTGTAGTCTCTCTCTAATAAAGGCACAAAATGACCCCAGAAAACTCTGCTGTACCAGTGGCTTGGTTGCCAGTTGCAGGCAACAGTTATTCCGAGTTTTACTTTGACATCATCTGACTGTGCTGACTGAGAAACAGTGCAACAAACAAAACCTTTACAGTCAGTTGCAGTGTGTGTTTCCTGTGGCATTCAAATACAAAGTGCATCAGTTGTTTCACATGTAGCAGCAGTTTAACAGAGAGATGAACAGTATCAGAGTCCAGTGGGTCAGTGTGTGTGCTCCCCTCCTGTGTTCCCCAGCAGGCCGGCCTGTTCACAGAGGGATTACCCTGCTCTTTGACTAAGAAAACGCTAATACAACACATTCCCAACATGTTCACGTATAGAGAGAAAAGAGGGTGGGAGAGAGAGCTGTGTGTGTGTGTGTGTGTGTGTGTGTGTGTGTGTGTGTGTGTGTGTGTGTGTGTG